GACACCACATATTTTCAAAAGCGCTCCGACGTTTTCGGAGACGTCTGTTACCCACTAGCTCGATGATTGTCATGACCATTGATCAAAGACTGCAATCACAGCATTGTATGATGGTAAAAGATGTATCCTTAGGCCCCCTCCTCGATTCAGAGATGGTCTTTCCCTTGTCTTTCACCATCTTACAATGCTGTGATTGCAGCCATCCCCCAACTCTCATGGACATTGATCAGTGGTTGTTGATAGTTTCAGTAAATGTACTGTTTATATGATTGGGGAAACCTGCAGCCAGCTGACACTGAAGAAGTCACCTGGATGATGATGAAAGTTTCTCCCACTGAAAACGTCCAGATGAACAGAATCGACTTTTTGGGATTTACGTACCTGGATGATTGAACATGCATCAAGAAATATATGAATGTAGAAGTGATCAAGTCAGTATTTCTACAGAGTACTGGACAAAAGCAAATAGCCAAACTTTATTGTTGCCAAATTTATATCAGGTAAAATTGTGGTTTTATAGATGGAGCACTGATTGCACCGTGTCAAATAATAAAGGATTCTTCTCTCTCTCAGATTCCTGTGAACTCACACTGGACCCAAACACAGCAAACAGAAACCTCATCTTGTTCGACAACAACACTAAAGTGGCATTTGTGGATGATGAGCAGCCATATCCTGATCACCCAGAGAGGTTTGATGACTGGAAACAGATTCTGTGTAGAAATGGGCTGACTGGTCGCTGTTACTGGGAGGTTGAGTGGGAAGGTTGGGTTTACATAGCAGTGAGTTACAGAGGAATCAGGAGGACAGGAGCCAGCAAAGGCTGCTGGTTTGGATGGAATAATCAGTCGTGGAGTCTGAGATGCTCTGAAGATGGTTACTTTGCTTGGCACAATAACACTAGAACAGACCTCTCTACCTCTTCCTCCTCCTTCGTCTCCTCTTCCGCCTCCTCCACCTCCTCCACCTCAAACAGAGTAGCAGTGTATGTCGACTGTCCTGCTGGGACTCTGTCCTTCTACAGAGTCTCCTCAAACTCCTTGATCCATCTCCACACCTTCAGCACCACATTCACTGAGACTCTTTATCCTGGATTTAGGCTATTTAGATCTTCCTCGGTGTCTCTGTGTTCACTTTAGGACGAAGACTTGCAGAAACAATGACACAGATTTATTCAGGCAAATACTTTACATTAAAAAATCCTTTAAAAAATCTTTTTCCAAACCTCACCAATAATTTTACTTTAGACCAGAAGATTCCACACACTGACTGTGAGTAACACTTTAGACTGACCATTATTAACAAATGGAAAAGGAATAATTTCTACAATGTTAGTTGTACTAAAGATGGTTGTATGGAGGCAGGAAGCTTGAAGTGAGTTTTACAAAGTAATCTGTTCTCTAGCTTATGTCCTTTGCATAGGTCTATATTACCATAATGCAAATGCTTTGTATCATATTTATCTGTTTCCATTCATTTTACAACCAGTGACAGAATTTGTTGACAATAAATTTCATTTCCTGTGTGATTCAGCAATAAAATGATCATTGCTCCAATGTTTTCTTCTTTACAACATTTTGTTCAGTTTATTTCAATTTTATTTATATAGCACCAAATCAAACGAGTTGCCTCAAGGTGCTTTATATTGTAAGGTAGACCCTTCAATAATACATACAGAGAAAAACCCAACTATCATATGAGTAAGCACTTTGGAAACAGTGGGAAAGAAAATTTTCCTCTTAACAGTGAGAATCCTCCAGCAGAACCAGGTTTGACGACCACCTGCTATACGACCAGTTGCGGTGAGGGAAGGAAGACAGGACTAAGACATGCTGTGGAAGAGAGCCAGAGATTAACAATAACCAATGATAGGGCTCTTGTCATGGTCCCGGGACTTCTACCCGGTGCTTTGTGTTTTCCTGTATTTTTGTCATTTGACGTATTATGTTTTAGGTCCACTGTTTATTCTAAAGGTCCCTAGGTTATTCTGTTTAGATGTCGTTTATTAGGTTTCCCTTCGTGTCTTTACCCTGTGTCTCACTCAGTGTATCTGTGAGTTCTTATGCCTTGTTTTCCCTCCTTGTGTTTTATTCCATGCTTGTCTGTTCTCTCCCCCTCCGGTCTGTCTGTGTACTTCCTGTGTTACTTT